CGGGGCGTGGTATATGGAAGCAATGTAATTATGTGTGTTGGTTATTAAATTCACGACAATTTGATATCTTAATTCTTTTCTCAACTGAGTATATTTTAGGGATGGAAAGTACCTATATATGTCCCCTTTTCTGGAGACAAGGAAAACATTGCAAGCTGACCACCAAACTATTTCTGTTACATCTAGTTATACCCCTGAATCCTTCTGAACACAGCTTGCTGGGCAAAAATGACTAATTTATAAAAGTCTGCTACCAAAATGGGTAGCAGAGATTTTTTTTTAACGAAGACAGGATTTAAAATAGGCTTCCACTGACTCTGAGACCCAGGCAAAAACCTGAAGTTTTCTATAAACTGTGTGAAAACTTCCTTGGGCTCAACTGTCACGTGGCCCCAGCTGCTTTTCTGTTGTGATCTTTCTATATGTATTGATTTAAATCCATGCTCACCACGGTAGCTGAAACAGTGGAAGGCACGCCATTGATGTTTGGACCAGGAAGTGTGTACTTTTGCAACGTTCGTTGAATGAATAGTTTGCAAAGTTACGCGGCTAGGTTACAAAGACACAACACAAAGATTTAAAGCATCACCACGGCAGTGGTACCTCTACCACCTGTTAATGGTCCATTTAAGGTTGACACTGGGAAAGTAGAGTAAGAGAGGTGAATCTGAATGCTGTTATTAGAACAGACCTGAAGTCACCATATCCACAAGGAAGTCAAGTAGAAGCAGAGAGATGAACAATCATAACTCTACCACTCAGTGAGCATCCATGCACGACCCCCTGGTGAGCACTCTCCTGTCTCGCTTAATGATCCACCACCACTTTATGCACTAGTTCTCCTGTGGACCCATTTTACAGATGAGGAAACTGCACTTCGAGAGGTGAGTCAACTTCCTGGAGGCCATGTTATCATGCGGGAGCAACACTGGGTTGAACTATTCCGTCATAGTCAGGATCTACACTTTTACTCACCCCGTCTCGCCTGTCAGGCAGATGGAAAATAAAACACTGCTTTTGTAAACTCCATGAGAGTAGAGCTCAGAAACATATGAAAGAAAATAAACAGCTAGACCTATGGTTTTTATGGTGAAGAAAGTTCCAGTATTTGTTTAGCCTCTCTACGAGGAGGAGTTAACAGCTAACAAACAGAATTTGAAAGCAGATAGGAGAGGAACACTTTGCATATAAAAAGATTCAATTTTTGCTCAAAGAACACACTGGGGTCCTCTGGGCTGGGTAAGGGGTGAGTTTGGACTTGCGTGAATCCACTCTTTGTGTAAGCATTTTAAACTTTTAAGCAAAGGAGATACTCAAAATACACGACCCCCTTTTCAATCCATTTGTACTTAGAGTGAAAAAGAGAAAGAGGCCACCTCCTGGAGGGGAGGCTACCATTGTCAATGTCTGCCCATCCATAGCAAAGGATTTCAAGTGCTACCTCCACATTTCCCTTCATGACCAAGAAGCATCCTTTGTGGAGATCGGCCAGGGACACTGAGGCCAAGAAATTGAGCGATGCGATGATGTCTAGAACGAGCAGAGACAGATCTCTCCTTTGCATCACCAGGACAAGATGAGTAAGTATTTCCTGAACCTCAGTTCATTCATACACCAGCCTCACTATTTTTGCCTCATCCATGGGTCACCTTTCCAATTATGAGGTTATTATTTTTCTTTAAGTTGACTCCTCTGCGCTTCAATAAAATTTAAGATGCTGTTTTCCATCACAACCAAAACTGACACCCAGTCAAATCTGCCACAAATAGATGGAGACTATGAGACTACATGGGTTGAAAAGACAGCACTGGGCCTCAGTTGTTCAACTCCGGCTGGATATTTTGTTGGCTGAAAGCTCAAGCTCTTTTAAAAAAACATCAGCCAGGGCTGGAGAGGTGCGGGAGCCATCGCAGCAACCCCGCGGACATGTTCTCTTTGACGTTGGAAAGGCTGAAATGGGCTTGAGAGGGAAATTGTATTCTCCAGCGAGGATTCAATCATATTAAATGACAAATCCATGCACCACCCAGAATGACTTTCATCCAGGAAGGGCGAGACGCGTGCCTCACTCGGAAGCACTCCTTAAGCCACTGATCTATCAATCTTCCTGGCTAAAGTCCACAACAAGCCTCACCAGCCGTTCCTGGTCAGTGATTAACTTCATGAGCTTAAACTAGGGGAGACTTCGGCGCTTCCTGAAATCAGCTGGTCGGGGCCTCTATTCCGCGATACCCCGGACTTAAAGGCTGTCCTGCATCAGTTCAGCAGAGCCTGGGTCTTTACAGCTGTTTCCCAAAGCACAAGGTGAAGAGAAAATCTGGTGCACAACCCTTTCTCAAAAGGGAAACTCTGCTGTTGTCGGAGAATCTCTAAAGAGACCTCTCAGATCCTTAGTTGCTCTCTTTTAAAGGACAGGATTGGGTTATACCTGGGCCGCCCAATACAGAGGCCACATGGGATTACCGAGGACTGAAAATGAGGCTCTCCCCAAGGGAGACGTGCTGTGAGTATGAAACACACACCAGATTTTGAAGACCTGGTACCAAAAAAAAAAAAATGTAAATGATCTCATAAATACGCTGATGTTGACTACATGTTGAAATGATAATATCCCAAAGGCAAAGTAAAATATACTAGTCAAATTAATTTCATCTGCTCCCTTTTGTCTTTTTATTGTGGCTACTAGAAGACATAATATGACGTGTGTACCCTGCATCCTGTTTCTGTTGAGTTAGTGCAGGATTATACGCTCAGTGTGGTTCCTCACTGACGAATCAGGCAAGTGATACATAAAAATTCTTCCCTAAAAAAATCACAACAGATCGTAAAACAAGGCCCTTTAATTTTACAAAGTAGAAGTCACTGGTAGATATTTTAAAAGCTTTACCATCTCTGTTCAGTTCTCCTCTATGTTAATAACCTTTATAACGATGTCAGGAGATAAATAGTTCTGTGTCTTTAAAGTTAGGAAAGAGAGGAAAAGGATTTCACGGCTCATATGTCTACGGATAAAGCAATCCAACTTTGGACCAGTCCAAACTGGTTCCCTAATCAAAGATATACTTTTAATGAGATTTTATCTTTGATTGAAAATGTGAGGCTGTAATGAACCACTGGGTCATTACTCCGCTTCCGGGCTTAATTTTTATTTAATTCTAGCTCCCTGACGTTTTTGATATGGAACACTTAATTTATGCCGGATATTTAAAACTTTTTCTTTTTTGGATCTTTTGATGTAGGTAGCCTTTTGGGGCAATAAGTCCATTTTGAACTTACATAGTAACAAAATTAAGATCTAGTCTCTGTAGAAACATGCCACACGGGTCTACGTCTTTATCCATATTTGTGTTTATAGCGGTAACAAGTGCAACAATAGGGTCTTAATGACTGTCAAGTTGTTGGCCGCCCTTAATTTCACGGCAGCTGGGAGTAGCTGAGAAATGAATGGCCTCTGGGGCTCTGTGAACCTAGGGTCTAACTAGTAGCCCTGTTGCCTACTCACTGTGAGAGCTTGGGACCTTCATTTACTATTTCTGGAATTCCATTTCATCATCTGAAAACAAAGTGTCTATCTGCTTTCTTGGTTGGGAACGCCGATGAAAGAAATCCAGGCCCTCTCATCCCCAAGGACGTCCGTCCAAGTCCAAGCCCTGTTCCCCTTCTCTCTGGGTGGTCACGACACCTCTATTACTGCTGCGAGCTTCCCGTGGGCTGGGACCCATCTGGGGTCGATGCTAAAGTGGTAAGAGAGAAAGTGCTCAGACTTTCCAGAATCTGTAGGAGGGCGGGATGGTATTCTGTCTCCAATCCACCTTCTCCCGGAACCTTCCCGATCCTGGCAAGCCTCCCTCGGAACTCCCAGTAACCGTAATTCTTCCCTCTTCATTCCCCTCTCAAGCCTACATATGCAACCGGTGTCACGGAACCTTCCTGCCTGCACTCGTGGCCCTCAACATGATCCCAGTTGACGGAAGGAAGGAGCCGTGTGTGTGTGTGTTCTCCTGCATGCAGAGTCTTGTCTTCTACTTCTGTTCCCTCTCCAACTTGCCTCTCTTCAGGTTTCCTTTGGGGGACCTCTTTTCCTTAGGGGAACACCTGCTCTCCCATTTCCCTTGGAGACCACGTGGAGCTGACACTCAGCCCAAGTTCCAGGGATACACACGGGCCTCAGGCCACAGCCAAAGACAGCGCCCCATGCCTGTGGCAGCAGGAACTGGTTCAGTAAGGGACACGGACCCAACCGTGACTGAGCCTAGGGCTTCAATACTGAATTAGTCAAAGGTAAGCCTGGAATTCATCTTCTGGGGCCATTTTACTCCACTTGGGAAGAGCCTGCCTGAAATTAAGTCGACTCCAAGATAAAGAGAACCCAGAGTTGGAGACAGGTGTACTCCTGAGGGCATGTTATGAGCCCCTGGATCCAGTCAAGCCTGAAGCCAGACCCCCTTGGGTTTTCAGATGTGGGAGTGTATTATTTCCTTAGGGCTTCTGTAACAAATCACCACAATCCGGGTGACCTTAAACAACAGACATAGATCATCTCCCACCTGTGGAGAACATGGCACTGTTTCAGTTGAGACACGTACTACATTACAGATGATGTGTCTTGTTTGAAGATTCTTTTCATCTGTGAAATTCTAATTTCCGATAGGAATACTGACCATGTATCATGATCTCTGCTTTTACAGCTTTCAGTCATGTGCCTGCTATGAACAACCACACACTGAGTGGTTACTAGGTACCGGGAACTGGAAACTGGTCATTGAGACACATTATGGAGAAGGTTCACAATAACCGTAAGAAGTAAGTGTTTTCATGATCATTTTCTTTTCAAGAGAGGAATCTGAGATACAGAAAGGTTAAGGGTCATATCCAAACTCAGTCCTGTGCCCCATCCTATGCTCTGGTGGACCCCCTCCAATCCTTCCATTACGACTGCATTGGTCAGGGTTCTGCAAAGAAACAGAACCAACAGTGTAGGTACGTAGGTGCATAGGTAGGTGGGCAGGTGGGTGGGCAGGAAGCTAGACAGATAGATACTATATATATGGATATATGTAAATAATAGGGAAATATTTTATCCATCTACCTATCTATCTACCTATGTGAGAAGCAGAGGAGCTGATGATGTAAATTCCAGACTAAGGGCAGTAGAAGATGAGATGACAAGTCCCAGTTCAAAGAGTAAGGCAGAAAAAAAAAAAAAGCCAACTTTCTCCTGTGTCCTCGTCAGTCCCTATCATACTGGATGATGCCCACATACACGGGAGGGATTAAACTCCTGAGTCTACTGATTCAAGTGCTAATCTTACCTGGAAACACCCTCATAGAAACACCGAGAAATAATGTTTAATCAGGGCATCCCGTGGCCGGTCAACTTGACATGTAAAGTTAACCATCATAGTGACTTTCTTCCTAATTCCCAGACCGTAAACTCAGGAAATTACATGTGAATATGAAAACAAATCACTATTTCTTTTTCTCTCATACCCGTTTCATACATGATCATGATCAGAAGCTCATGCTTACCTTACAGGATGTGTTTCATTCAACGTTACATCTATCGTGATGCCAGGGACAGAGACACAAGCATGGCAATCGTTGTTAATGGCTGTGTGATACTCCATCCTGCTGTGCACTCAGTATCGTAAGCCATCCCCTTAAGATTAGACATTTAGGTTGTTTCCAATCGTTCAATGTTGCAAGCAAGAGAACAATGGTGGGTTTTGTTTCCACTGAGTTGGGACCAGGGATGACCTGCCAGCGGTCTCAGTGGTCAAGAGTAAGTCATGAGCAAGGAGGCCCCACGTGGCAACCTGCATGCTTGTTCACACGCATGGGTACTCTGATTCTTAAATGATTTCTGCCAAATTGCAGCACAGCCAGTAAAGAATGAATACACGCTCCCCAATGTTCACAGCAGCACTATTTACAATAGCCAAGACATGGAAGCAACCTAAATGTCCATCCACAGATGACTGGAGAAGAAGTTGTGGTGTGTGTATGTATATATACACACACACACATACATACACACACATATATATATGAATACTACTCAGCCATAAGAAAGAATAAATTAATGCCATTTGCAGGAACATGGATGGACCTGGAGATTGTCATTCTAAGGGAGGTGAGCCAGAAAGAGAAAGAAAAATAGCATATGATATTGCTTATATGTGGAATCTTAAAAAAAAAAGACACAAAGAAACTTATTTACAAAACAGAAACAGATTCATACTCATAGAAAAGAAGCTTACAGTTACCAGGGAGGAAAGAGGGGAGAAAGCATGAGTCAGGAGCTGGAGATTTCCTGACACTACTAAATATAAAATAGATAATAAGTGTACACTGTGTAGCACAGGGAGGTATATTCAGTATCTTATAGGAACCTACAATGGAAAAGAATATGAAAAGGAATATATGTATGTACAGGTATAACTGAAATATGATGCTGTACACCAGAAACTGACACATTGTAAACTTACTATACTTCAATTAAAAAATGATAGTAATGATAATAATACGTATTGTGCTTTAAAAAGGAATGAGGAAGTCAGTTGCACAGCAACCTCACCTCTACGGGAAGACGCAATATTCCTACGTCACGCCGCTGAGTAGGTAGGAAACAGCGTCTCACAGGGGCTTTAATGTGCATTTTCACATAGGGATCGAGGACAGGTGTTTACCATGTGTTTGTTTGCTCTGTGATCTCCTTTGTGGGAATTTTCTGTTAACGCCTCAATGATTGCTCTTAGCTTTCATGACTTCCCCCAGGAAAATCGCTCCTCTCACAGGGGTAAAATGAACCTTTGTCCATTTATGAACTGATGAATTAGATCAACAGAAAAACTCAACGTGAATAGATCAAATTAAAAACTCTTAATTTTTTTTCCATATTGCAAGTCAGGGTGCTATTTTGAGGGGGATGCAGAGATGCACTGAAAGTTTACAATGACTCCTTAGACTTCATTCTCTCTGTACCACGGAAAATAGTTGTTTAACTGGCTCAGATGACTAAGAAAAGCTGCCAACCTCCCTGGCCGAGTCAGACCCTGTGAGCCTGGTTCATGAGGACAATTTGCTTCCAGACATTTGCCCCCTTAACCAAAAGCCAGAACATCTTGAGCCTGAGATGTGTTCTGTCTTCAAGGATCTGTCTTCCAATCCACCCAGGAAACCTTTTGGTTCAAAAGAAAATCGGAAAAACCTCTGGCCAACCTGCAGATGCTGACAGCTTTGAGTCTGCCCTGGCCACTGTAAACGATACTGCATTTGTGATGACTTTATGCAAAAACAAATTCTAATCTATAATTGGCAAAAAAAACAAAAACAAACCCACAACCCTAGTAAAATGGTCAGAACACCATATAAAGTGTGCAAGGGCTTGGGCACGTGTGTGTGCACACGTGCATGCGTGTCTTCCCCATCCCACTCTTGAATTCTGTTGCTGTTGCTCCAAGTACCACCACAAATTATTTCAGCCCCTCTGGCTGCTGAGATGGATGGCATAATCCCTGGGTTTTCTGACCTTGATGAACACGAAGCAAATTTCAGCTGAACTGTGCAAAAGTGCTGGGGTAAAATAAATCACGTCTGGACAGGGCATGCCTGCTATCTAAAGTACAGAGTCGCCCAATCACGTATCAAGAAGGGAGATAATAAAACACACCAACTGAAGAGAAAGAATTAATTAACACTCACTCCGCTCATCACACACACACACAAAAAGCCGATGGCTATTTTTTTTTTTTTGAGAAGAGATGACAGAAATATCCTAGGAAAGAGAATCTGCACTTAATTAAGCGCTTCCTAAATGCATTTTAATTCAGAGTTTAAAGAAAGATGTATCACTAAAAATTACACAAAGAAGAGCAGACTTGCTTCTGTTAAGTAAATGACAAACGAAAATAATAGCTTTAATGAATGGTATTAAAATGGAAGCGATTCAGCTGCGATGAATACACAATTGCAAGGAGATGACAAATATTAGAGACAAATCACTCTCTTAAAATCAAAGTATCGAAAGCATAACCCTCCCCCATCCGAGGCTGAAGTCAGGTTAAACGACCACCCAAACGTCATCAACAGAGTAGGCTTCTTAAGGGCCAAGGAAAGTGTGGTTACACACGCCTGATACAAAGCTCTTATATGTGAAATGGTTTATCAAGGCATGTACTATTTATAAACGTGCCCATGCCTTGATAGACTGCAAATCTATCATATATCAGGAGAAACGGGTCTTCTCAAAAGTGAAGACCGAGGAATGAATCTCACAGAAGCATGAGGCGTCTGCTTCTCTTCATCTTTGGGCTTCAATACGGAGCAATGGGGTTTGTTTCACTCACCAGTTGCCAAATTCCGGGCCAGGCACAGTCTACTCCTGGCACACGTGCTGTAACTCCCACTCCTTCACCTTTGGCAGGCATCACTAATCAATCACGCACCCTTTCTGGTAGAACCCACAGCTCAGACTCCTCATGCAGCCACGATCAATCAATCTGAGTTGACATCAGAGATTCAATCGTTTCTAGTCACAGGCCTACACCTTTCATGAGGCTTTCCAACTCTCTCCATGTGCCCTGACCCAGATTGATAAGTACCTGCAGGACATACAAAACCCTACACTTGAAACTGGGGACCTGGTCTTCAGGCTAAGCTTTGCTACTTACATACCTGCTCCTAGATGTAACTTCTCTGGTCCCACCAGAGATCTAGGAAACTGAGATGAGGATTAAGAAAGAGTAGGAGGAAAGCAAACATAAGGATACAACACTAAGGTCGCTTGCTTTCATTGAAGGTGTACCCAGCACCCAGCCAGGATGCTCTGTTCCCCAAGTACACAAGCTCATTGAGTCCCATGGCGATCCCAGAAAGTAGCTGCTCTTATTCTATCCATTTTAGATGACAACTTGGAGCATCTGAGAGGTGACATAACGAGGAAGTGGCCAAGCTAGGGTCCAAACCCAGGCGCTGAAGCTCTCAGCCAGTCTGTCACACCTGTGATTCTTTAAATGAGCTTCCCAAAGCCAACTTCAAGGCTGACAAGAGGGTGTAACAGACACATGGCCGGATCCACTCAATAGCTTTCCATGGCACTCACTGTGTTACGTCTTTGCTCAGGGTACTGCTCAGTGTCCCCAGAACCCCTCCTCATCTGTCATCTGGGTTGCCAGACCATCAGAGACTAATTTAACTGCACACCACATCCATTTGAGCAGCTCTCCCAGTTTTTAACATGCCTTCCCCCTCCACCACCATCTTCAAATTTTCCTAAAATAAAGGAAAGAGGGAAAGTATGACTCACATCTCATTTTCAAAGTTCAATAAGAGAGAAAGCATCAGTTAACCTGCAGGTAAAATAGAAAAGGCAGGCACAGAGACCCCTCCTGGAGTTCAGAAGCTCTTGTCTGCAAAAATAACCCTCAGTCCTGCAGGGAGGTGAGGCAGTAACTGGACCCACGAGTATTCTGATCACTCTGAAGAGCAGACTCATTGAGGACCTCGGGATAATACCTTAGGATGAGTTATTAAGGGGAAATTACGTGTAGGAGATGCACCACAGAATGTCATTTGGCAACGGCCCGGGCTATTTCTCTTCCGTCGAGTGCTCTGCACCAATAATTCTCATAAATAGAGCCATCATTTCCTTGTGAGCCAGGCGCTGAGCCCATGGTGCATTCAGGAGCTGGGTTTGTTTTTGTTTTTGTTTTTTTGGTTTGGTTTTTTCCCTGTGCAGCAGCCTCCAAAGAGGTGGCACGGCCTCAGGGTTCAGGATCAAAAGCAGACCACCTGGGTTTGAAGCCCATCCTATACTGACTGCCTGGCTGATCTCAGGCACGTTAGTTAACTCCTCCTTCCCTCAGTTTTCGTGTCTGCAAAACAGGGATCAATATTGTAGTATCTTAAAGGATCTCTGTAAGGATTCAATCATAGGATGCACCCAAAACTATGTCTGGCATACAGTCAGGGTTCCACACATGTGAGGTGCAATCATTACTACCCATTTCCTCTTCTGAAATAAAAAAGGTTTTCTTTATTCTCCTTTTTTAAGTGGTTCCAGTGGGGCTCCTCCCACTCCCGGTTGTGGGTGGAGGCAGACAGGCAAGCAGAGACCGCTTCCCACAGCAAAGTGACTGGGGTGAAGCCAGTGTGTGTCAGTCACCCTCCAGAAATGTGCCAAAAGCATAGGGAAAGACGCTTTCTCTTTCCGTGGTCATCTCATTTGAATTTTAAGTTCGACAAGAAGATAGCCCAATTTTACAGTCATTTGATCTCAGAACTGTCTTTTTTTTTCCCTCAAGCTAGTCCAATTTGGTTTTCTATCATGCAGTGGAATACGTCCCGACTAATACAGCCTGCAAAAATAACACATGGATGCCTGACCTATCCCCATTTGACAGATGGTGTGACTGTGGACCAGAAAGCTAATGTGACTTTTCTGAGATCTCACAGCTAGTAAAGAACAGAACTAGGATCTGTTGGAATCCAAAACTCTTTTCCACCATACAACATTGTCTTTTGAAGCAAATTACGTAGATGTGAACAAAAATGCGGAGGATTTCTTGGTAGCAACCCATATCCACCATTTGGGGGGCAATGGGTGAAGGTTATTCTCCAGCGTTGACTTCCATCCCCTTCTCTCTGAGGTTCTGAACACACAATCCCAGACACTGGACTTATCATCCCTCCACTTGGCTAGTCCCTAAGTTCACGTAAAACTGAAGGTGGTGGCTGTACATTTAGCTTTCTCCTATGCTTCCCAGCAGAGGGCAAGGATAGGGTGGGGTCTACCTGTGGTGGACACACCAAGTCTCACCCAGATCTCAGCCACAAACCCACGCTGAGCACAGGAGCTGAGTCAGGTCCCCAGATGTGAGTGGCTCTGCCTGTGCTGAATGGCTCCATCCTTTGGCTGGAGATGGCAGGAGCAAGAGTTAGCATTAACCACAGACAAACCACAGGCTGGCGGGTGGCTGTGAACACACTGGGAATGAGAACCTTGCCCAACAGGAATGCGAGTTCATCATCTAAAGAAGATGCACAGTCTTGAG